TCTATCTATCTATCTATCTATCTATCTATCTATCTATCTATCTATCTATCTATCTATCTATCTAATCTATATATAATCTATAATATATTCTAATATTCTTAATATGCATATCCATCATTCTGAGATTCCTGTTAAAAATAATGAAAGAATAATAGAAAGCAATGGCACCAACTACCAGATACAGAAGCTTTTATTCTTCTGCCTGATAAAAAAATTGATGTGCCTGAAAACTGCTTTTTGACAATAAACCTCTCTTGTCTTTCTTAATTAAGATATTCAAATAAAGAGGCAAAAGGGAGCGAATTCCCCCCTCAAGTACTAAATGAACCTAAATCTCAAATCTTTTAATTATGACTTCTTTCAAGCTCATCAGTAGTGTAAGTTTTAAGGAAAGAAAATAAGAGTCACAAATATGTCCCAGCAAAGAAATATCTTGCAATCTTGACAGCAATTTCCAAATAATAAATCTGGGCACTTCATTGCTGTCTTGATGACATGAGAAGGCACTCCGTTTCTTGAAAAGTTATACATTTCTAAAAATTCCAGTTTTGCCATTTAGAGGTAACTAAACTAGTTAAATATGTCACCTTTATCTGACATTGATTTGCACCATTTTGAGTAAGGTTGTTATGGAACAATAATTAAGTGTGTATAAAAAAAAGAGCTAGAGAAAAAAAATAGTTTTTTAAAAATTCCTCTTGGAGAACATCTATGAAATGTTCTTGGCATCATATTGAAATGTTTTCCAATAACCCTTGCTTGGCTTTTTGAGATAAGTCCAAGTTAGCTAAATATGAACTTCTAATTGTGGGTGCACATGGGAATATGTTGTGGTGGAATGTGGTCTGAATTCCCAGGAGGTAGGCAGTGCATTCCAAAAGACAGCTCAGTTCAGATAATTTGTGTGAGAGAAAACGGGAGAAGGTGACTCCTTCCTAATAGTCCCCAGAGTATATGATTTGTGCAGGATGGTAGCATGCTTTAGTTTGGCCAGATTTTGTCTTTAGGTGAGGAATAATAAGGAAATCTGTTCGGAAGAACCACAAGGTATCTCTGTTTTTGGAACCTTAAAATGTCCTTTACCAAACCCTTTCAAAGCTGAACTGAGCAGGCTGAAAAGAATCTGTAATTTTTGTGCATGTGGCTTCCTGAACACACACAGAATAATCACTGCCTGACCACATGGTGAGGCCTGTGGTGGAGAAGTTAGAAATTCAGCAAACCAGTCAGTCCATTTTATAAAGCAAAGGGATTTTTTAAAAATTAAATTGAAATAATATGCTAACTCAAATTTCAGACTATGGGGCTATGTGAAAAACTGAGTAACATGTCCCAAAGCAACCAGTACTACATTTTCAAGGAACTCCTTTTTGTAAAATTAACTTTTTTCTTGCTTCTCCAGCTGTTGAAATAATGTTCACCATTAGGTGATGCTATAATGCTGCTTATTTTTATTGCATTTTCTACATTAATAGCTCATTCATTTCCCCAACTGTTTTATTGAGTTAAAAGAATATCATCCACTCAACAGAGGGAGGTGTCACTAGACTGAGGAAAAAAACTTTTGGTGGCATAATATATTTTTGGAAATTAAAAAAAGTAAAAACTGCAACTAGGCAAAAGGAACTTGAGCATGCTCAGGAGTAAAAAAAAATGCTATTTCAAGTGGGGGAAAACTGGAATTACAAAAGAAAGGGAAGGCAATAGAAGTGAACTGAAAAGGTACTTTTGAAAGGGACATGAGTATATTTTTTACACCTGGTTGACTTCTCTAAAAGAAGATGAAACTTTTTCTTGGTTCATGCAGCATTTGTGTACTATTTCCAGGAAAATAGAAGTTGAGTTAAGGAAATATTAAGGAGATGTTGACAAGCTGTAATGGCCTTGTTGCACCTTATCTGTCTCTGTTAAATTTAAGTGCATGTTTTCCTGGAACTACATTACTACCTTGGTATTCCACTGCTTTGAAACTCAACGCATTTTGATATGAACATTTTGTCCCAGTATTGTTTGTTCAGTACTCAATGTACAAGCTAGAACTTGTCAGTATCAGCTGTCTTGCGACACACCACATTTTTCTTTATGGCAAAAATTTGTTTGGTACTCATTGTGCCTCTCAGAACCAATTAATGATAAGTACTAAGGTACCACTGTACAGAGTTGCCAAAAGCCAAAAAAGAAAAAAAGGCTTCATTAACGAGGAGGTGCACCAGATGTAGGAAATTTTCCCACATTTTCTTTGAAGCCCCTTTTCTGTTTTGGATACCACCCAAAGGAAGGAAAACTGAAATAATAAGCAATGGCCTTTTTCTGTGTTCGGGGAAAGTCCAGAGAAAGCTTAGGATTGAGAAAAAGGAATGAAGCAATATTCATTTGGACCTCTCTACCCCTCTGCCTCACCAGCGATTTATTACTGAAAATACCTACAACATGATAAAAAGCTTTGGATTTGCCGAACCTTGTTATTGTTCCTCATAAGAAAAGGCTGTATCGCTGCACTGAGAAATACAAGACAAATTCTTTGTAACTTTCTTAAAAACAAAATGAAACATTTATTTCATGGCTGCTTTTGTTATTATTTGCAATGGCTGGTTCATGAAGGAGTTTTAAACAGAGCTTCTGCAATTCAACTCACTTCAGAAGACATTAATTAGCCAAACAAATTGCTGTCTAGTTCAATTACCTTGATTGTCCCTAAGAGTAAAATTGGGGTTATTTGCTGTCTCAGGAGCCAAGCTGTAATAGAAGTGCTGTCCCTCTTGTGGGTCATCTTGGTCCACTGCACTTACTGTCTGGATCAGCTGTAGGACAGAAGAACAAAACAATTGATTAATGACAATTCCAGTGGAAATAAACACTTTTAAGAATTAATCTGAAAGCAAAAGAAATGTAGGTTTTAAATACTACGGAAGTAGTATTGGAACAGGAAGCAGAGAGTTATGAGGGCAATCAAAATATCACAGGGATCAATGGTTAGGAAAAAGCAATCTCCTCAGGAGTTGTTTTGCTTCATGGGAGAAGGACAAATTTGTATGGTCCATATCTCAGTGAAAGAGGACATGGTTTGTATACAGATAATCCGTGCAAAAAAATCAGCTAGTAAGGCTAGGAAAGAGTATTATATATTATACTTTTCTACACCATGTTACACTACACTACACTACTCGACATTGTCACCCTGTCCTTGCTGGCATTTGATGGACCCAAATGCAGTTTTGAAGACAACTGGGTTCTTTTCTTGAAGCTCTGGCATGTGGTTCAGTGGACGCTCTGGTTGTAGCTTGGAACAAGCACATGGCAAGGCTCCTGGATTGGAATGTGCCTGCATGGATGTTCTCTGGTTGCAGACCTCACAAAGCATTTTGGTTTACTGAGGAGTTCCAAAACATGAAGCAATATATTGTGAGTGACCAAAACAGGCGGGAAAAATTTGAACTGTTGAACCTGAGGAAATGGACCAGGTCCTTGCTGCTCTGAGCTCTGCCACCTGTGCTTTGGACTCCTGCCCCTTGTGGGTTGGTCAAGGCTTCCAGGAACAGGGCATATGATTAGGTCCAAGTGGTGATTCACTCTTTGGGTTTTGTGAGCCACTGGAACTTGTAACAAATAAGACGGCTGGTCATACAAGTTTTTTAAATATGTCCCCGTCTCTCTGTCTCTATACCTTGGGAAAAAGCTTCCGGTTAAGTGAAGATAAGGTTGGGCCCAATGAAAATCGATTCTTGACTAATAAGCCAATCTGATAGGTTGAATGCAGTTTTATTATACTTAGAGAAGACATTAAAAAAATGGGACATCAATTATTTGGGATACATTGATTTCAATACGTTTATTCTAAATCTCAAGTAATTTCAAATAAAATTCAATATCCTTTCCAGTAAATTTTGATCACACGCACAGAATACACTTTTCTTCTGAAATCTATTTGGGAAGACACACAAATGTATTACAGCAACAGTATACTTTTTTTAACTACTATTTTAAAAATCTCAATCCTAACTGTTCAAAGTAACTTATAATTGTTTTTCACACTTACGACCTTTGCAGCATTCCCATGATTAAGCGATCAAAATTCAGAAGCTTGGCAATTGACTCATACTTATGACTGTTGCTGTGTCCCAAGGTCATGTGATCACCTTTTGTAACCTTCTGACAAGCAAAATCAATGGGAAACCCAGATTCACTTAATAACCGTGTTGCTAACTTAAAAACAGTGGCAAGAAAGATCATAAAATGGGGCAAAACTCACTTAACAAACATCTCACTTAACAACATAGATTTCGGGCTCAATAGTTGAGGATTACTTGTAAATGTCAATATTATCTTTTCTCTAATCAATTAGCTTGCCATATGCCATTCCCAGTGGTGGGATTCAATGTTTTTTACTACCGGTTCTGTGGGCATGGTTTGGTGGGCGTGGCAGGGGAAGGATACTGTAAAATCTCCAGTCAGAGGTGGTATTTGCTGGTTCTCTGAACTACTCAAAATTTCTCCTACCGGTTCTCCAGAACTGGTCAGAACCTGCTGAATACCACCTCTGGTCATGCCCCCGTTGGGCCTGAATCTACGGGGGAAGATGAGCTGAAACCTGAGCCTCCCCCATCTCCTGAAATAGGACTAAAACCTAGGACAACTAGGACTACAAAACCAACATTAGGTTAGAGGGCAGGTGGTTAGCAAGGATCCAAACTCCTAAACATCTGGTCATATTTAGTCTGCAGCTTGAAGATAATGTGCTATTGGAAAGAAATAGCTGCCCTACATTTAAAATCCTTTATCAAAATGTATCTACTCAACCTTTAGAAATGTCTCTTAATTGACATTGTGGAAAGACTGATCAATATGATTTCTTTTGAACAAAATGTAAATCTATTTAAAAGCAGAGTTACTTTTACATACCTATTGTGTGTGTTTTATTCAGATTCTTCCTCCCTTTTTTGTATATTCCAGCTATAAAATATATATTTTAACATTTCTGCTTCCTTTGCCACAATTTGGAGGATATAAGAAATTAATTTTACTGTTGCTTTGCTGCTCTTTTAAATATTGCAGTGGATTTAATTTAATATTTAAATTAGACATTAAATACTAAATTACATAGTGTTATATTCTACTGAAATTGTAATGGGAAGGGACAAACATGTGCTCGTACATGTAGACTTAGCTATGTTCTCATTCCTTGCAGTTATAAGCTACTGTACCCTTTGGAATCTACTTTCGAAGTCTCAGAGAATGCAACTCATATCTAGACAATATTAGGTTGGAGATAAAGATCATAGATAATGGTACCAGTTTTAAATATAAAACACTGTTTTAGCTTCTCACCTGTCCAACCTTTGCATTTTCACAGACAAACGCTTCATAGAACCTGGGAAATTCTGGTATGTTGTCGTTTACATCCAGGACTCTTATTGTTACTGAAACATTGCCAACCTGTGAAGGATTGTCTGAAAGGAGATAAGAGTTAATTAATATCAGAGGTGTTCTGCCTAAGCAAAAATTAATCCTGAATAGCATGACAGATCTCTGGAGAATACACTGCCCAGATACAGTAGATAGTATTTTATTGTATTAAGACTTTTGACTGGTGGAGTCTAATTTAGCTTTCTCTGTCGTTGCCCCTGATCTATGCAACATGTTGCTCCTAGAAGAGAAGATGGCTTCCGCTCTTCTGGATTCCAGAAGAATTTGAATATCTGGTTCTGCCAACTGGCATGAAGAATAGCATGCAACTTTGTCTTGAGGGTGCTCCCTCTGATTTTATCTTGCTCTGAACCTGTTCTTAATTCTGTTTTTAACCCTGTTTTTAATCCTGTTTCTTTAGGCTTATAGCCATGATGGCGAACCTATGGCATGTGGGCATGCGAGCTGTCACCCCAGTTTGGTTCCACTGTGCATGCCGCACGCTTCCCATCAGCCAGCTGATCTTTGGGTCTCTGCCATGCATGCACGGGGGGTGGGGCGCATGCAGGGGGGTGGGAGTGGGGTGCATGTGCGGGGGATGAACGAGTATGCGCAGGGTGGGGCAGATATGCGGGGAACGCATGTGCTCACATGCGGTGGGCACATGCAGGGGGTGGGGCGCATGCGCAGGGGACAGGTGCACATTGCACTTTGGGGATGCATGCACGCGCTTTGGGCACTCGATGCTGAAAAGGTTACCCATCATTGGCTTATAGCTTTTACTTGTAAAATGCCCAGAATCATCTAATCAGCGAGATATCTAAATTTAATAAATAATTAAACAAATAGACACATATTTTTCAACTTATAACTTTATCTATACCTACTTACTAGATATATAGATATGGTTGTCAGTTTTCATGTAAATCATGCATTATATTTACTTCTTGGATTGTAAAATAGCTAAACATACCTGTCTGTCTGATTTATGTTAAGCCCCATAACTTAATTTTGTTAACTATTAAGCAGTGATTAGACTACAGATAGGCTATTTCAAATATTTTTAGATAAAAAAATAAAAAATAATAATTCTAAAACTAATGTAACTTTATACATGTTGGGCAGTTTGTCATTTGCCCTTGTGATAATAGGACTGTGCAGGGTAATAGTAGTCATACACATAATAGGAGCAAGTGGTAGGATTTATCAACAAAGATTTTACATAACACAGATTAGTAGGAATGAACCGTTCCTAATACTCAGCAGTTTCAACTCAGAAATATGCAGAAAGAAACATGCATGTATCCAAGAAAGCACACAGTATTTGGAAAAACTACATGAACAGAATAATAACTGGAGTTGGGTGACCAATACATTAATAATATTAATAACAGGTCCTTGGGAAGGAGTCAATAGGTGGATAAAAATTTAGCTGACTGTGGAAACAATCATAACAATTATAAATTAGAAGAATTGCAACTTTTCAAACCTATTACTTCTATGTGGGGTACGGACTTGATGCCATAATATTATAAACATTTCTCTTGAATTGTACAAATGAAAGTAGTTTACTAGATATTTTCTACATGAAAGTGTTGATATCTAAATGGGATATTTCAACGTTATCCTTGCTGGCCAGAAGCTTATCACCAGTCTTGTAAGCCAAAAAGATAATACTATACAGTTTTAACAGTATAAGTATCTTAACAGTAGGATTTTTTTTCTACACCATACTCACCATGTGATGTAACAAGACCATATAATAATTTTCCTTCTCAAAATGTGATAGGATTAACTCATGGAATGTTTAAGTAGACAATACATCAGCAGGAATTAAGGAATCCATATTTTAATGACATTTTCTGTGACCACTGGGGATGGTATCAGCTGATAAATCACTATACTCTGCTGAGGAGCAATTGTGCAACTCACACCATAGTGATATCATTTTTTGACAGTGAATGCCACCGTATAGCAAAATGAGAATTAAGCTTGGAGTAAGTTGTGTTAATGTGGTGATTTGATATCCAATTCCACTCATGAGGGAAATGTTTTCAGAAATATTGCTCTAATTCTAAAGCAGAAATGAACCAAAAACTAAGTTATGGAAAGTATCTGAGATCCTAGCAAGTAGCTTTTTCTGTCCCAGATTAGGTATATTCATTTATTTATTATTTTAAAAAAAATTCATAGGACAATTCAAATTAACAATTGTTTGCTCAAAGAGTTTTTCAATCAGAGGTTGAAGTTATTAGCAATTCTGCGAGTCAGCTAATCTTCTTTAATATTGTTTTTTTTCCTACTCTGATGAACTCTGTTAGCCCTTTTCTGCAACTAATAATTCTTGGACAGGGTATGTATAGATAGGTGTTATCTGAACTGTATTTCAGAAAAACCATCAAAACCTCCCTTACACCATAATTCCCTTGAATGTTAACTATTTGAGTAACCAAACTTTGTAGGGCTCCCAGGGGTATATAGATTAAATTCTAATTTCATTATTTGCATACGCACACAGGGGTTTTATAAATATATGCTGGCTTCTTAATTGAAGTTTGAATGATCAAAAGCTGGATTTGAGAGGCTGGTTTTAAATCCTGATCAAATGGAATTACAGGTTAACTGTAGTTAAGGTTAACTCAAATTCATCTTTTCACTGTGCTTTAGGGAGGCAAGGACACTTGAGAAGAAAGAGAAAAGGAATTGGCAGATACAGTCTGAAGCTTGGCTTTCATCACTGCTGAATGGAAGTACTGTGCATTCCTGCTTGGTATAATATGTGATGTCTCCTTTGTTGATTCCTCTTCTGCCTGCATTGCTCCTTTCTCAGTTGTATCATTGCTAGTGACTTTTCTCTGGGATAATGTGTGACAAAGCCTAACAGATTTTCTATATCTTGACATTGCCCTTGGACAATGTTTGGAATTAGGGAAGAAAACAAAATTGAAGTGCTGCTACTTTAATACTGGAACAGATAAGGATGACTGCGTTAACTGAATAGCTGTGAAGAAGATCAAAGCTGTATCCCACAGACATGGCTCAAATATGGTGCTGTTCAGACTTGTTGGTGTTATGTTTCAGCGAACATATGTACATTGAAGCATTCATTAGAAATATAAAAGGGAAAAAATAGATATATTTGATAATACGTATAAGAAAATGTGATTATTGTTATATTGGTAAGCAAAACATGAATTGTAATTGTAAGCACAAGAAATATGTACCTAGTCGACACACAGTTGAAATGGAATGGAATTATTGTATATATAAAATAAAAAAAATTGGGGAAAAAAAAGAAATATAAAAGGGAATTGATTCTATTTTTCCTTCTTTCTTTTCTTTCTTCTACTATGAGCATAAACATACTTGTTTTCTTTCCAGAAAGGTAAAAAATTGTATAACCTTAGAAATTAGAACAAAGAGTTGGAAGGGACTTTGGAAGTCATCTAGTCCAACGCCCTGGTTGAGCAGGAGAGTCTATACCAGGGGTGTCGAACTCAAGGCATGTGGGCCAGATCCAGACCATGGGATGCTTAGATCTGGCCCGTAGGGCCACCCTGGAAACAACGAAGGACCGGTCTGCGGTGTCTCTGCCAGTGAAAATGGAGCCCAGGAGGGTCCTCCCGGGCTCCATTTTCACTGGCAGAAGGCTACAGGATGTCAAGGTGGCCACGCCCACCCCAGCCATGCCCCACCCTGGCCACACCCACTCAGCTCCCTGAGGTCAAACACAATCCTAATGCGGCCTTTAATGAAATTGAGTTTGACACCCTGATCTGTACCATTTCTTTTCTTGAAAGCCTACCGTGATATAGCCTTGCTATACAGAAACACACACACACACACACAAACACAGTCCTTTGGAGTTGGGTGGGCAATACATTTAAATAAATAATAATCTGATTGCCTTACTCAATTCCACACCTAGCACACTGATATTGTGCCATGAAATGTCTTCCCGATCCAGAGGTCTTGCAGTCATCAGAGCACCTGTTATAATGTCCACATAAAAGAAGCGTCCAGGATCACTGCTTCGATCAATGGAGTATCTGTAGAAGTTCACATTAAAAAAAAATGTTGTAGTTAGAACCTGCCATTGCAAATTAAGGTGTAATTTAGTTTCATCACTATTTTTTTTAAAGCTCTGTAGACTTGACAGTAAGTCAGTTCAGATGCTAATTTATATGTGTTGTTTACTGGCTCAATCAACTAATCCTTGAAAAATCTTTTATCATTGACTTGTGCAGTAGGAATAGAAGAAATAATTCAAGTTCACTTTAGATTCCACTTTTTCATCTCCTTTAGCAAAGAAAGACATATTTGTGCTTTTCTGGTTGCACTAATACAAGGAAGAGTGTTTAATTTTAGTTATTAAATTTTAAAAAGGATAAAAAATTAACATCCATATTAAATTAAGAAATATAAACTTATTGAATGTTTCTTAGACTCTCTTTGAGAAAGAATAAGAGAATATTCTTTCTTTGAGAAAGAATAAGGGGCATCACTCATTTTTTTTAGAGTTTAGGACAATGGAAAACAATTAAGATGAGCAGCATTAGCAGTTGGTAACATTAAGGAAGAATTAGATATCTTTCTTTGTTTGGTAATTGACCTTTGGAGACACGAAAAGCAGTTAATATTCATAATGTATATAGGGTGGAAAAATAGCATTCTTTAGTACAGTATGCAAACATGCTAATGAAATAACCACACCAATCACAGTGGGACTTGCTCCTAAATATTCATGAATTTACTCAGTGCAGTAAACGTGAAATCTTATTCGTGCAATAAAATTCCACAATGTTTCTACAAATTAAGCACCAATATTTTCAGTATGACATAGTGTCAGTTAAGAGTCTGCATAGTTTCAAAATTATACAGTTGTGCATGAATAGCCATTAGTGCATCTGCTGATACCAAAACCAAATTCTATAGTGTGCTCGAAAAGTCGTCATTTAAGTTTTCATTAAAAATGTAAAACATGAAAATCCAGTCCCTAACAAACTCCTCTGAGCATAGTTCAGAATCAAGATGCATAAAATAGCTGTTGCATAATCCTGGAAAGACTGAATGCACAGTAATTACAGAATCAAGGAATCGGAAATTATTCTAATTCCCAGATATAACAAATTTTCCATTATGCCGGGGACTTCCGGTTTGTGGCGCTTCGGTGCAGGCAGGAATCCGCGACTGAGCGCAGTCCCTGCCTGTGTTCACTGCCTGAGTGCCCCGAGCCATTTGGCTTCGGGGCTAAGCCACCTTTGCAGAAGGTGGTGAAGACTGGGGGGCTCTGGCAGGGACGAAAGACATCGCATCTCTCTTCCCTAGCCGGCTAAATCTCCCTCTCCAAAGGCAGCTGAGCGGCGGTCTGTAATGGCCGCCACATAGAAGAGCTCAGCCAGAAAAAGAAAGTGCTGGAGGAGTTGTGAAGAAGTGAAAGCGATCTTTGCTGACCGGGACAAAGCAACAGTGAAAGTATCCTGATATTTAATACTTATTAAAGATACATTGTTCCCAGATTGAGTAAGCGGTGAATGGACATTAAAGGGAAAACTTTTTTTCTTTTCACTCTCCTTCCAAATGGAACAGCTTTGAGAGAAATCAGAAAACCCGCATTGGAGGTATGCTAAATGCTAAAGATTATGCTAATGCCAAAGGGATATAGATTTCTAATATTTAAAGAAAAAATCTTTTTTTGCTGTGAGTGGGAAGGGAGAGGAAAAAAAATTGAAGTAGAATTTGAAAATATGGAGCAGACTGCCTAGAATTTTAAAGAGCCACTTGAACATTAATAAGACTTCAAAAAGACATATTTCAATTGGAACTTTGTGACTTAATAGTAACCCCAGAAAAAGAAATGGAAGAAAGGAAAAAGTGCCAAAAGAAATAGTTTATTTGGATTGTTTGGTGACTTTGGATCTTTTGGAAAATCTTTTTTTTTCTTTGCCTAAAAACACTCGGGTAGTTGTTTTGGGAAAAACTTTTCCTCTTTATAATGGCATTATTCTTGGATAAATCCAAAACTGAATATCAAAAATATAAAAAGGAAGAACAAGACTGGAAAGATACTTTGGGCATTCTTTTTCAATCTTTAGAAATGGCGGTACGTTCTTATGGAGAATTGATTGCGCAGCAGGATAATTGGGACAAAGAAGAAACCATCTTTGATGAACATGTGATCCTATCTGGGAAGGAGAAGAAAGAGGAAAAGAAAAAAGGGATTTTAAGACCTAAAAAAACAACCAAAAAAGATAAAAATGAGTTGAAAGGTGGATATAAGGTTAGAAAACAACAGAAAGGGGGAAAGCAGAAGAAGAAAAGGGAGGTGGAGAGACAAAGGGGTAAAAAGGGTAAGGAAAAGAATAAGCAAGGGAGTAAGGAAGGGATGAGAAGTCTTAATGATGGGAAGCAAGATTTAAAGAAACAAAATTCATTTAGAGACAATGGGTAAATTTAATTGAAAAAGGGATTCTGTAAGGTACATAAGATTGTGTTATTATAGGCGCTTTTAGAATAAAATGTTTGAGATATAAATGAGTATTAATATGTATGAATAAAATGGTATTGACAGTGGTACTAGCCACATTATATATCTATAAATCTGTTCTTTTGTTGTTGCTGTTCCTTCTTTTTTTCCCCCTTTTTCTTTCTATATAATACATTGTGTAATTTCAGGATGTGCTAAACAGAATCCCAATACAAGTTATGTGTGATATTAAGTATTATTAGGTTAGGGGCAAGAGTTAAAGGCGTCATACTCCAATCAGTGTACAGGAGAAGTTTTGTTGAAAGAGAAAAGATGAATGGATAGTTGAGAACAGACAAAGAATGACAAGTATTATGATTTGAATTGAGATGAGATAAGTAGAATAAAACTAAGAGAGTTAAAAGAAGGAAGAAGCTATATAGAAAATGGAAAATGATAATAAGATATGGAATGGTATATAAAAGGAACATGATCTTTGAAGTTGTGTCTGTACGATGAGTTTTAACCCGGGATCAAGCAACTTTCAGAAAAGATGTTTTATGTTTCTATGTTTCATGTTTTTGTTTGTTTGTGTATTAGAAGAGAACAATGAAATTGTATAAGACAGATGGATATAAAAAATGTATACAATCTAAAGTTAAAGAGATATAATTTGAATAAATAGAAGGAAAGGGAGTAATAAAGAGAAGTTGGGATAAGATATGAAGTTGAATAGATAAGGTAAATATATATACCAAATTGTATTTATATGGAAATGTGATAATTTGGAATAATTCTGTCTTTAAATAAGATGTTGTATTGGTTTTTTCAGAAAAAGATTTCTTATGTCATTATATTTTATGTTTTGTTTGTTTGTATATTGTTTTGTAAAATTAATAAAATTTGCTTAAAAAAAAGAAATTTCCCATTATGCTATGTCAATCCCAAGGGAAACGATCTGCCATCAGCTTCTAAATCCATTTTAATGTACTGATTAAGGCACCATGCTAGAAACCAGGAGATGGAATCAGAGGTTGTATTCATCTGGTTTGAACTGGTTCTGGCGTACCAGTAGTGGAAATTTTGAGTAGTTTGGAGAACCAGCAAACACCACCTCTGGCTGCCCCCGCACCCCTGCCCCTGTCCTTTCCTGTCCTATATTCCCTCGGTTTTTAGCTCAACTGATTTGCATGTCAAAGCGGATTGCTACACCTCAGCTGAACTAAAAAACAGCTCACCACACTAATGCTGACACAGAGAGTGGTTTTTGAGTGCTGAATGCTCACGCAAAGTGAGGTCTCATAGAACCGGTAGGAAAAAATGTGGAATCCTACCACTGCTCTGAATGCTAGTTCTTCCTTAAGGTATGAAATCCAGCTGGGTGACTTTGAGCCAGTCATGTCTAACCTATAGGATTGTTGTTGTAAGAAAAATAGGATGACGAAGGAGGCGTTATCAGGTATTAGTCCTCTTGAATTATTTATCAAAATAATAAAGATATATAGATATAAATAAAATAAATTAACATAAATTTAAAAAGCTATATTAGAGGATAAATCCCACTCAATAAAATTGAATTTACTTTTGAATAAACATTCCTAAAGTTGAATATTCAAAATAAATGATCATGGCCTCTTTAGAATGAGGCAAGGCAATTAGACAAAACTCTCTAAATGTATCATGTCCCTTTTTAACAGAAAAACTATAGCCTTTACCATTTCAATAGTAAAAGATTTTTTATAACAACTGAAAACAGAATGCAGTAGCATTCGTATTTTATTTTCAGTAAAAAGCAGTTCTTTTAAAAAACAATCCATTTACATTTATGGAATCTTTGATTTTAAGTGTTATTTCTTGGAATTTCATGGATTGCAGAGTTGTAGGATGTAATATGAAACAAGCACAACTTTTTGACTAGAATGTTAGTTTACTGTTTGAGATGTAAGAGCACAATCAAGCCAAAGTTTAAAGTGAGAACACATTTCTTACATTTATTCCATGGGGTGCCAATGAAGCTAAACAAGTTTTAACTTTGGCTGGACTGTATCCAAGATCTTTACAATTCCAAATTAACTCTCTGCTTAGCTGACTGTCATCAAGAAAAGCTTGTCACTGTTGGGGACAAAGTAATTTCAGGAGACTATTCATCCAAGAAACTTCTTTCTCACTTTGTCTTCTAAACTAATTTACCAATTTTTGGAATTAGTAACATTTTGTGTATGGTATCATTTCTTCCCTGGATTCTTTAAGGAAGGTTAGTGAAAAATAGTTCTGAATGAGCCATCTTGGCCTCATTGCTTTTTTACGGAATATATGTTGAATTTACTTCCTGACTTTATATGGTATTACTTTGTAAAGTACATAATTTACTCTGAATGTAGGAAGCCATATATAAAATATCACGGTGTTGCCTCTAAGGCTGCTGCTATTTATTTCAGTTTGTCCGGAGTTTAATATTTCTACCTATCAGCATTTAAAGTAGGTTCAAACTGCTAAATAGATAAGAAGATAGGATACCTACAAGCAGACTTTGTATAATGGTATGTGAGAATGACCTTGGGAGACAAAAGGAAGAACAGCAGATTAAGCAATGGTGAGACAAGTGGCAGATGAGTCCACAGAAGGAATGGGACAACAGGGAACATCTCAAAAAGGACCCTCCCTAGTTACCTGGCAAGGCAAAGGGGAGAGATGTACTTTCAGCTTTGCAAGGTATACCATATATGAAATTATAGCTCTAACCTTATTGTAAAGTTATGTTAACAGAATCTTTCTCCTATACTGCATCTCTGGCTCAGTACTTTCCAATAAATCATAAGAAGGGAACACTGTTCATCTTACAAGACTGATAATGGAGGGCTTAGGTATTTAGCCCAAAGTCTATCTTGCGCTAAATCTGTAGAGTGTGCACCTATCTTTTTGAATAATTTTTAGAGAAAGCTAGGTTGTAAGTAATGTGAGTTCAAAGAGTGCAAAATTCATTTTAGTGTGATTTATAAGTTGAAAACAGGTTATATTTAATAAGACCCAAAATTTAGTTAGTGTAAGGCTAGCATGCAGAGGCACAGTTGTGGCTAGCACATGCACAGTTGCAATTTGGGTTTGAGATGCAAATCATTCTTTGTTTGTGCAAAATGGAGGAAAGCAAGCTTGAAAAAAGAGGAGGCTAATTTTGAAGAACTGTAGCAGAATGTAGGAATAAGCTGGTACTCACTGGATATATATATATCTCCTTTTTTTACTGGTATATATTATTTTATTAATAAATATATAAAATGTATGTTTAAAAATTGTAATTGTCTATTTCCTCTGAGCTGGAACCAATTACCCCATTTTCCACAGAAATATCGCTTTGATTAGTCAGGATTCAAATAATGTGACGATTTTGTGGAATTCATTAACTACGTTAATTGAGACCAAATTGTACAAACACACATAGAGAACTTAGTTAGTAAAATGTAGAATCCCATCTCCTGGGATCATATAACATCTATTTTCTACTTTCATTGCCAGTTTGTCTTTAATATGTAGTTCATTGTTTTTGCTGTCTTAAATGGGTTGGGACTGAGTTAACAAATCATCTTTTTTCATGTAAATCTACTATAACTTTCAAGATTAGTATTTAATCTTCTCTAGCAAATGCTGTCCCTAAAATTCCTACAATCATAACACCTCCCTCTTTTTCATTCTAAAAGTTGATATTTTAATTAAAGGATACCAAAAAAGAAAGAGGAGTGAAGCATCTGAATCTTGTGGAGTTTTTATAGTAATATATTCTAGATCTGGAATTTATTACCTTAACACACATATATAAACAGGCCTTACAAGGTATATAATCACTCTGGAAAAGCCTCTTCGCCTATTGACATGTAGACAACTGCACGTGCAACCTTAGTTGATATCCACATAACAAAGATCCTAGGGGAAGGATACCGGATTGCATGGTAGTGCCAATGAATCAAATTGTATGTAGACGGGTTCTCTATTAAATTTATATACAACCCCTAGTTTGTTAATAAATTCCATATAACACTTTAACGTAATCAGCTACAAAATATTACTGTAAAATGACATGATATATCTGCCAAAGAAGAAAATATTGCTTTGCTGTTTGATTTGTAAAAATGTTGCCTTTTCAGAAAAAAATCGTTATCCATTTCCAAAAGCCATTTGTTAACATTGAAATAATTTATTTTTTCTAATTTCTCACTCTTCCCTTTTCTAGGGATTTGTACATTTTTAGTAGTGTATCCTCAGACAACATGGTGAGCCACATAAAATGTTTGCCTTGCAAAGACATGACAAGAGATGGATTTCACAAATTATGCTATCAGCTAGAATATTGATTGCACAAACTAAGTTTCCATCGGATAAAATCTCTTTGAAATTCCCTAGTTGCCATGAAATTATATATTTCCCTAGTTTCATGATATTTATACTACAATGGTAGTAGATTAGATTTCCTGTATTGGAAAGACACAGGTCTGAATAAATGTTGATTCAGAATTAAACGAATAATATGATGATTTTTCTGAATAAACTGGCCCCAAGCAATATACAATTCAATATCGTATTCCATTTGTCCTTGTGAATGCATATTAGCCAAGCAAACTACAAATCCAAGGAGTTCATATAATGGACAATTAGAATGATTGAGGAAAAAAATAAATAAAACCTGATTGAATTGTTGATCGCATCAGGGTCCTTGGCGTTTATCATTTGTATGGTGGTCCCAATGTCCACATCTTCAGGCACTTCCACAAAATAAAAACTAGGCTCAAAAACTGGTGGTTCATCAACATCTTCCACACTTATATGCACAGTTGTTGTGTCACGGAATGGACCTAGATTCAAGAAACGCATTTCAAGGTGTGGATTGGCACCTTCTACTTTTAAAGTGTAACTTTTCTTGGTCTCAAAGCTCAGTGGCTGGAAAAAGAGAGGAAGAAATAGAAGACAAATTATAAAGCAATCTCTGCAACTGAAATGAACCTTTTCCTCCTACTTATCAATATCGTTTTTTTAAAAAAGCATTCCAATTGAATTTCTATTTCAGTCTAAACTGTGGAACTATCTAAGCTTATCAATACATAATGTTGGAGAGATCTACTTCACTCTGTTATTTAAATATATTGCAATCTCTAGTTCTTTCCATTCTGTTAATGAAAAAATAACGGCATGGATTTGGATAAATTCCTGCTGAAAAGCAAGCCAGGTATACAGTTCTGATGAACCACACTGGCTAAAAGCAATAAAATAACTATTCTACCAGGACTAGCATTTAGAAAATAATGTTTATCATCTTTGGTGGACATGTAGGAAAGCTAAGAAATTTTAGAATCAAATATTTATGTGGATTCAGAAAATTTTGAAACTAGATGTAAAATTGAAACTTTTAGGGATGGCAGATAAGCAGTGGGAAAGAAAACATGGCACTTTGTTTTTATATATGACATTGGCAGCAAGGTTGCTATATGCCAAAGATGGGAAGATATACCCACAATGGAGGAATAGATTTTGAAATTAATGGAGATAGCCAAGATGGCAAAATTTACTGTTTTGCTTAGAGACAATGATTTGACTAAGTTTTTTATGACTTGGAGACTTGGATTTCTTACAAGTCAAGGAGAAAAATCAATTTTTGACTTTAGGATTTCAGGATTAGATTAGATTTGACCAGATTAGGGAAATATTGTAGCTTTTTAAAATATAGATTTATTCACATTTGACAATTTATTGTCCAATGATGTATTTGAGAATAATAATATATTCATTTTTAAATTTTACAATTCAATTTATATTAAATTTTATATAGTAAAATTAAGAGAAAAATAATTTTCTGACTGCTGGTATTTTAGAAAGTTGATTACTGGTATTCTAAGAGATTGGTATTATTAGGTTAAAGTTTTAGACAGAGGTTGTTGAACTGTTATTATCTCCAAACTTAAAGAAAGTTGGAGGTTATCTTTGTTGCAAATATGTTAGCAGTAGATTTTTTGTCACTTTTAATTTGTTTTGCTATTCCTTTTCCCATTTATGTTAGTTTGTATTTTAATGTTTGACTTTGAAATTTAATAAAGATATTATTTTAAAAAAGGATTAGTAGAAGCAATCACATTAAGAATATACCAGAAGTGCATAGTGTATAGGCTGCACATTTTTACATTTTAATGGCTATAATCATCTGTGCTTATATACTATTAATCCCATTGATGTTAATGGAGTTACGCACACGCTTAAGCATTCCAGTGAAACTAATGAGTTTCAAATATATTATGTTTGGTTAGTTTATAAGCCTTCTATTATTATTGCTGAAACTCTTAAAGAGAGGTCTTTATTACAGAGAAATGGAATAAAATGAAAAGCAACATGCTAGGCTTTCCCTTCTTCAGATCAATTTCTGTTCCACGCTGAGCTTTCTTGCTTTTTTGTTGGGCATATTCTACCTCAGAAGAAAATAACACCGATAATTGTATTGCACTGATACATAATGTTGTGCTTTTTATGTGTAACAGTAAAAGGATAATTAAAACAAATCCTCGTGACAACAGCAAAGCAAGTTCTAGGAATGACCAAAGAATCTTTGTAAAAGTGGATGTGGAAATGGAGGTTGCAAAGATCTTATACAACATTATGAGGCTTCCAGCTGGTAACTTAATTTCCAAGAATGCAGTGGTTATGTGCTCTTTACTTTTACATAATGGATACATTGCTGAATATTAGCAAAATGGAATCCTCTGAACTGGCACAGACCTTGATCAAAACAAAATGCCCGTTAGTTCCAGAAGCTGCTGGTTTAGAAACAACCTCTTATTTGGAAGAAGTTTATTTTTGTTCTCTGTCCATGTTATGTCCTGAGGACTCAAGGAGTTCTCACTCAGGTCCACTCACTTTGTGTGGGCGATATTCCCCCATTCCCATTGGTTGGTTCTCCCCAGCAGCCAGCTATAAAAGCAGGCTGCGGGGTCCAACTGGTTGCTGATTGCTGCGAGCCAGTTCCAGGCTTGGCAAGCACGGTCAGCCCTTTATTTGTAAAATAAAGTACTGTTGCACTCATGCTCTGGTTCAGCCTCTCATTGCTCAAACTTAACACTGGCGACGAGGATGGGATGGCTACCAGATGCACCTTGCAACCGCTGAGTCACTAGCCACCGATCCGCAGCCCAGAGAGAGCGATCGGCTGGCGATAAGGGAAACGCTGATCCGCAGCCAGAGAGAGCGGTCAGCTAACAAAACGAGCGATCAAAAAGAGCAAACGCAGATCCGCAGCCAGAGAAAGCGGTCTGAGTCAAAAAGTTAGAAGCGTCTGTAGCCGCTTGTTAGCCCCGCTACGGGGAAAGTGAAGCGCTGCGAGCCGCAGCCGCTCTGCATTTGGCGCGAAATTCAAACGGGTGTCATTTGAATTTCGAGCCAGTAGGAATCACAGCACAGCGCTGTAGAGAGTCACTAACGCCCACTTTTTTGGCGCGAATCTAGACACCACCAACGGCTAGCAGCCAACGTGGTAACCCAGAGAGAGAAAGAGAGGTTAGCAAAAACCTCTCCAGAGCTGATTTCACTAGTAACTCACGAGCGCTCGTAGTCCCAGAGAGATTTTTTCCGCAGGTAGCCCAGCCGTTCCAGCACCATGAGTTCCAACCCAGTATTCCCCGCGTTTAAACCAGACGAAGAGAAGTGGGAATCGTATAAGAACCGTTTCAATCATTACATCGATGCGGTCGGCCTGGCGGATGCGGGAGAGCATCGGAAAAAATCCTATTTCCTAATCTACTGCGGAGCCACCGTTTACGATACCGCCGCAGCACTCGTAGCGCCGAGAGAATTAAAAAACGTTCCGTGGTCCGAGTTGCTTGAGATCCTCACTAACCACTACGCTCCCAGACCTTCACAAATCGCCAGGAGGTTCACGTTCCGTATGAGGAAGCAATCAAGTAAGGAGACCATCAATCAATATATGGCCGCCCTCAGAACAGCAGCCCTGCACTGCGGGTTTGGAACATACCTGGAGGACATGCTCCTCGATCAATTAGTTTGTGGGGTCAAGGATCTCAACCTACAGAGGCGACTGCTAGCTAAAAAAGACCTCAACCTTGCGCAAGCGGTAGAGGAGGCCCTAGCAGCCGAGCTAGCAACGAACTCAGCCACCGAAATTCAGGGCCCAAGTGCCAAGCTAGCATCGTTCCCAGTCCATTCCGAAGAGGTGGAAGCGGAGGAAGCCCACAACGATGAGAACGATGTCCATCGCCTCACCAATGACAGACGGTCGCAGGTAGGGGCCAAACAAGAATACACCGGTCCACCCAAGCACATCACCCTGTGCCTAGCCTGTGGGGGATCACATCAAAGGGCCACCTGCAAGTTTAAAGGAGCCGTTTGCAACAACTGCCATAAGAGGGGGCACATTGCGAGAGTCTGCCAAGCCCCCCAAAGCGCTGCACACAGACCCCCGTCCTCGCACTCGGGACCACAGAGGCAAGTATTAAACTGTCGCACGCACCGCCTTGCCAGGCGTACTGGCCACACTGTTAGTAAAATTTCTCTCTCCGTTTCCCTAGAAGGTAAACCGTGCCACATGGAGGTTGACACAGGGTCAGCGCTCTCAATAATCTCGTGGAACACACTCAAGAGACTCCACCCCAGCCTATCTACTACCCGGCTTCAGAGATGCCAGTTCGGTCTGAAGGACTACCAGGGGAAGGCCATTCCCGTGATCGGCAGAGGCAAGTTCTTTGTCAGTTTTAGAGCTTTTAAAGGCCACCTACCTCTAGTGGTAGTTAACGGCAATCTACCCACCTTATTGGGGCTCGATTGGTTTCCCCACCTCGGCCTAGGGTTAACAGGAGTCCATGCTGTCTCAACCTCAGACACTGACTCCTTATTCGCTGACTACGCAGATGTGTTCAGCGAGGAGCTGGGGTGTTATAATGGAACCCCCATCTCGTTCACCGTTGACCCCCAGGCAGTCCCAATCAGATTAAAACCACGTAGAGTTCCATTTGCTATTCGACCAAAACTAGACGCTGAATTGGATAAACTACTAAAACAAGGGGTCATTGAGCCAACAGATTTCGCCAAGTGGGAGACGCCCATTGTCACACCCCTCAAAAAAGATGGTAGCCTGAGAATTTGCTCGGACTACAAGACAACAATCAATAAATATTTACAAGTTAGCGCCTACCCTGTGCCCGTCATTCAGCACTTATTGCACACATTCGAACCGGGCAGTATTTTTGCTAAATTGGACATGTCTCAAGCATATCAACAGTTCCCTGTTGATAACCAAACAGCGGAACTTCAGACCATCGTCACTCACAGGGGTGCCTTCCGATGCAAGCGTCTCCAATTTGGCGTAAGTGTTGCCCCGGGTATTTTTCAGTCCCTCATGGAGCGGATTTTACAGGGCCTCCCTGGTGTAGTACCCTACTTCGACGACATCTTGGTCTCGGCCAGGGACAGACCCCAACTCTTCCAGAGAGTGCGAGCAGTGTTAGAGAGGTTCAGACAGCATGGCCTCAAGTTAAAAAAAGAAAAATGCGCCATTGCCACTAGACAGGTGGACTTTCTGGGTTATAAAATTGACGCCTCTGGCATTCACCCCCTGGAGTCCAAGGTTAGGGCGATCCACGAAGCTCCCACACCGACCTCCAAAACGGAGCTACAAGCTTTCTTGGGGATCCTAAACTTTTATGCATCCTTCTTGCCCCATAAAGCCTCAGTAGCCGAACCCCTACACAGATTACTAGACAAAAAGTCACCGTGGCACTGGGGGCACAAAGAAGACCAGGCGTTTAAGCCGTCAAATCACTACTTACGTCAGAGGCAGTGCTCATCCAATTCGACCCCAACCTTCCTTTAGTACTGGCAGCAGACGCATCCCCTTTTGGAATTGGGGCGGTCCTTAGTCACCGACTCGCCAATGGCGCCGAGGCCCCCATCGCCTTTTTCTCCAGGATGCTCTCGGCCACGGAGCGAAATTACAGCCAAATTGACAAGGAAGCCCTAGCAGCTGTTGCAGCCGTGAAAAAGTTTCACAAATTCCTTTTTGGCCACTTCTTCGAACTGGTCACCAACCATAAGCCCCTTCTGGGCCTACTGGCCGGCGACAAACAGACACCTCAAGTCCTCTCCCCTCGGATGACACGGTGGACACTTTTCCTAGCGGCCTACTCATACAAACTTATCCACCGCCCGGGCAAAACTCTATCCCACGCTGACGCGCTCAGTCGCTGCCCCTTATCTGCTCCGGCTGAAGACCCAGCTCCTGTCAATGCCATTTTTGAAATCACACAGTTGGACCTGCCCATCACCGCCCTTGACATCGCCGCCAAAACCAAGGCAGACCAAACGCTCGCCCAGGTGCTCGACTGGGTGAGGAGGGGGTGGCCGGGAAGCAACGTTGATAACAAATTCGCACCCTTTAAGACTCGCATGCAGGAGCTGTCCAGTTTGCAGGGTTGTCTTCTGTGGGGCACTCGAGTGGTCATTCCGACCTCGCTGCGTACCTGAGTCCTGGAGGCGTTGCACGAGGGACACCCCGGCATTGTGAGAATGAAGGCGTTGGCACGCAGCTACGTGTGGTGGCCGGGTCTAGACGAGGACATTGTCAATTGGGTAAGTTCCTGCAGCATTTGCCAGGAATCCCGTCCTGCTCCCCCCATCGCCACCCCTACCAGATGGGAGAGCGCCAGCGCCCCTTGGTCTAGAATCCATATCGATCTGGCTGGCCCCGTGCATGGAAAGATGTTCCTAGTGGTCGTGGACGCTTATTCCAAGTGGATAGACGTGGCACAGCTATCCACGACCACCACACTAGCAATCACCAACGTGTTAACGCGCCTGTTCGTTACACATGGACTACCCGACTCCTTGGTCTCCGATAATGGCCCACAGTTCGCATCAGTAGAATTCAGCCGTTTTGCAGCCAACCTAGGCATTCGCCACATTTTCACAGCCCCATTTCACCCTGCGAGTAATGGGTTGGCTGAAAGGGCCGTCAGGACCACCAAAGAGGCCCTCGCTAGGTTTGGCAGAGATGACTGGCACCACAAACTCTCACGGTTCCTGATGAGCCAGCACTCAACCCCCTGTGCAGTCACCAATAAGTCCCCAGCGGAACTTCTGATGGGCCGGCGCCTGAGGACTGTATTAGATAGACTGCACCCACAATACTGCCCTGACTCTCCCCTCGCTTCCACTTCGGGGGTTAGACATTTTATGTTACAGGAGCCGGTATTCGCAAGGAATTTCGCTGGGGACCCGCTTTGGATTCCGGGCGAGGTCATCGCCGTCACCGGGCCGAGATCGTATAGAGTCAGGCTGGAGGATGGTCGCGTCTGGAGGAGGCACATAGACCAACTCAGAAGGCGCCTCAGCAACCTCGCAAACAAGAATCCAGAGCCTCCAGTCGAAGGGGAACCGTCTCATCCGCCACCCAGCCACACCGCACCCAGCGACCAGTCTGCGCCAGCGGTCGTTCCGGTCAGCCCAAACTCGGACAACAGCGCCCAGAGAGTTGACCAACCTGATCCAACCCACGAGAGCTCGACCCCAGAAACCAACCCGGTGGTTCCCGAGGATGCCCAGTCCAGAGAGAGTGTTGGCGACACTATGCCAGCTCAACCGTCACAGACTGATACCGAACAGACAGACAATGTTCCCGAGTTGCGCCGCTCCGGGCGCCAACACAACCCCCCCGTCTACCTCAAGGACTATGCGTGTTCGCATCTGGGGGGAAGGGGTGTTATGTCCTGAGGACTCAAGGAGTTCTCACTCAGGTCCACTCACTTTGTGTGGGCGATATTCCCCCATTCCCATTGGTTGGTTCTCCCCAGCAGCCAGCTATAAAAGCAGGCTGCGGGGTCCAACTGGTTGCTGATTGCTGCGAGCCAGTTCCAGGCTTGGCAAGCACGGTCAGCCCTTTATTTGTAAAATAAAGTACTGTTGCACTCATGCTCTGGTTCAGCCTCTCATTGCTCAAACTTAACAGTCCATATTTTCACATTCATGTGCTAAGCAATGTCACATCCAAGTTTAATAGAAAATTGTAAGCATGCATTGATATCTCTGTGACAGCTACAATAGGTAAATTGTATACACATATATGCAAATTCCTTAGTACAGTGAATGTAACCAAGAATTTGAGAAGTTAAAACTATATCAGATCCCCCCAGTCTGGATCATTTCTTTCTCAATTTCCCACTGCTAGCTGTCAACCCTGCCAAAACTTTGCAAACCGTAGTCACAGTCATATCAGAAGGGAAGACCTGATGATGCTAATCATGTCCTTTCTGGACAAGAGCTAGTGAAGTTTGGCCTGGAATGCTTTCTAGTGACCATGGATAGGCCACTACCTTTCAAACTAATCCTTCACTTAGACTGTGGATAAAATAAAATGGTAATGGACAGATCCTTCCTTAAGCTTACTGAAGAAGGAGAAGGAGAAGGAGAAGGAGAAGAAGAAGAAGAAGAAGA